GCATCATGGATGTGCAGCCGACAAATCTGCGGCAACTGTGTGATGCCATCATGTCAATATGGACCGGGATAAAATCTCTGAGGAATGCTTCCAGCACCTTGTTGAATCTATGCCACGAAGAATTGAGGCAGTTCTGAAGGCAAAAGGGGGTCCAACCCGTTACTAGCGTGGTGTACCTAATAAAGTGGCCGGTGAGTGTACATTCCTGATCAAAATCTTAAGACCAGTCAAAAAAGTGCAAGAATTTGCATTTTGTACTATTGGATTTTAAGGAGGTTCTAAGTAGAGCTTCACAATGTTAAAAGAAGAAATCAGTGCAAGAGACAAGAACTTTTGAGCAGGGAATTTTCTGAAAACTGCATTTACACTCAAACGCACCGCTGCCACCATGTTAAAAATATTATTAAATAAAAACAAAATGAGTAGATTTGATTTATACAAAAAAATGTCTAAGAAAAATCTCACTTTACGCACATCTGCGCCAGTGGTTCTGATAACTCACGCTCTGCTGCGACACTGTTGGAATAACAAGCACCACTTCAACCAAAGTTTTAAAATCAGAAAACATTTCTCCAGTCAAAGTGATCAGAAGTCAGCAAGACTTTATTTCCAAGTCCTACAAGCTCTGGCTTTAGCAGCAGGAAATCCTGCAGCGTGTGCTCCCGCTGCGCCACAGCTTCAGCTGCGCATCAGATGCGCTCCAAAGCCTCCTGTCCTCAATGCACTGTCAGCTCCTGGAGATGCATTCAGTATGGTGTCTAGATCTGAGATGATGATCAGATGAAAATCTTTTATTTATTTTAGATTAAATAAGACCTCCGTGATGTAGACCTACTCCGGGCATAAAGCTGAAAATGTCCCTGTGGGTGTGTGTGATGCCACAGAGCCGTCTTGTGAAGCCTCGTTGATATTTTCCCCCGCCTCACCTGGCTTATTTATTAAGTCTTCCAGACTTAAGCCAGGATACTTTAATAAGACATGAGACAGCTGGTTGATGATAGCGCAATTTCAGTGCGTCTTTTCCTGACCGAGTATAAACAGGCTGAAGACGCAGTGGGCCATAAATTATCGTAAATTCTCCCTCTGCCCTCCCAACAGCTCATATAAAGTATATAAACTACAATAACGATGGCTGGATAGGGTTTTTTTCCACTCAACATCAGTGTKAAGTTGAGTGAAGTAGAGCCTTTTTTTTTGTATTGGTGGATGGAAAAAAAGACGTGACCAGCTGCATGCTCACGTTCATCCTTGGGACCTGGATCAAACCAGCTGCTCTTTGAGCTCTTTTTAAAACARGSTTCAGACAAAAAAAATATAWTTTTAAACAAAATAACACGCAGAAGGAATTGAGCTGCTCGGGGTCCTGTTCTGGTCCAGCTCCAACTCCTCGGCGCTGCCACAGCTGTGGCCCTCTGTGGTACCCCTCATGAACAAACACACCCACAAACTCTGGACCTGTCACACACTGAGAGCCGCACAGTTCTGACAGGAGGCCATGCACAAGACGGCTGTCACTGGGGGATAGAGGCGGGAGAACAGACAGAAGTTGCACAATTTTTTTTTTTTTACTCAGCGGGGGAGAAAAGACATGCGACTCGAACTATAAACCAGGTTTAAGAGGTCAGGGGTGTTGATTGCAATCTGTCAAAATGACGGACGACCTTCAGATTTTTCCGTCGTGTAAAAAAAAAAACCGGTCAAACACGGAAAATATTCCGTTAACGTGACCTCTGATATATACAGTAAAAGGCAAGTTATTTTCCACTTCCTTACCTGCGTCTGGTTCTTTCCAGGGACTGAGGTCGAGATGTGGGATAAGCGGGTGGGAACAGGTCAGCATGTCCTCTGGGTGCTCGGTGCGTGAGAAGGGGTCTGCTGGGACGTGGGTGATGTGACTGTTGTCACAAATGATACGGGACAAAGAGACAGAGTCCAGGTGTCTCCTCTGGGTGCTGGTGAACATGCCTGTCCTCTCCCACCAAAACCTGAGCCAACAAAAGATTTAGATTTATTTCTTYCMRGAACGCCGTTTGAAAAACCCARATCTGTTTCAGCGCTACCTGTCCCCGTCTCTTAGTGCTCTGAACTGTCTGGCCAGGAGGCAGGCCAGGAGCGGTCCAACTCGTCCTCCGGGCGCAGCAGGCTCAGATATGGCCCCCACCCACACGTCAATGTTGTGCGGCGTCCCGTACAAGAGTGTGAACGTGTGCGCTAAAGTGAGGTTCCCCAGAATTTCAGCCAGATCAGACGTCGTGTTGGGAACTGAGAGACCGCAGAACCTTCGCCACGAGCTGTAACCTGATGGATGAGGAAACAGAAAAAATTAGCACTACAAACTTGTTTTTTTAGCAGACACTGAACCTTTTAATTTAGCACTCTGCTTATAAAATAAAACAAAAACTCTTTTGCAAAGAAAAAAATAAATGGCGGTACAAAGCTTTTGAAAATCATTTGGACTCTAAACTCCATCCAGTTTTTCTAATAATTTCTAGATTTCTACACTAAACAATTAAATATTAATATTTTTATTTAAGGCCTAGCATTGCTTGAATGAATGCATATCGCCCACCGCCTCTCATACCAGCCTTTGAAACAATCATCCAATCATTAGATGATTTATTTGTCATCCATTTGTCAATCAWTAGATTTGATTTATTTATTAGATGTATTTGGCCCTCATTAAAAAAAGTTTGGACACCMCTGATCTAATGTCAATAAACACTATAGTTTTAGCCAAACCTTGTGAATAATTTTTAATGTGACTCCATGCAGTATTAAGTGTTGTTAATGACTCTCAGCTACAATCACATCAAATTTTAGTTCAATATCCATAAAAGTAACCGACTTACAGCTATTCTTGTGTTAGTGTGGCAGCCATTTTAAATGGTTTTAATGKTTACTTTCTATAAATTTTTATCAWAGTTTGTCCACTGGTTCATGAGATATTTTACTAACAGTCACGCAGAGATATGTAGTAATCTGAACAACAGAACATAAAGTAAAGAAGAAACTTAATTTGTAAGTTGATTCCACTGACACTGCACAGGATCAGGACAGTTCAGGTAAAACTGTATCTGTGTCCAAGGTCACGTACCAGGTAGGCCGTGGTCCCGGCCTCTCTGCAGGTTCAGTGCCCCCAGGTCCAGGGGCATCCCTCCCTGAGCCTGAAACAGCCGTTCTGTGAGCTCCTCCACCATCATCTGACCTGGAGTCTGCAGCTTGGCTGGAGACAGCAGCAGGCCTCGCAGCACCGGGTCAATACCTCCTTAAGAATCATTAAAAAACAACAACATCAGACACAAAAAAGTTTGTGTAGTTTTTTTTTATTTATTGATTTATTTTTTTTAAATAGAGGACAATGTTTACCTTCCTGCACAACCCTCCAGGAAGCAAAGAGTGAGTGATGCAGCGGCAGCGGGGGGTACTCGGAGTTAAAGGCGTACTGCGGCCCCAGCCGGTTCACCACCGGCTGCACGGTGACGTGTGCAAAACGAAACGCTGCGGTCGCAAATATGTTGGCGATGCTCGGGTCCACGTCAGGATCGTAGCCCTGGTAAGGGGGCATCAGACGAGACATGGYGCTCTCACCGAGAACCCGGGGCAGGTAGTGCTCCCATGTTAGGATCTTTAAAACAAACCAAAAATTAATAAAGATGTCAAGATGTGACYGGACGATGAGCTGAAACTGCTGCAGACACCTGATGGACGGCTCCTAGGATCTTGCGAGCTTCCTGATAGAGGGTGTCGGGGCTCCAGTGGGGGTTGAGCAGGTGCAGCTCTTGGACCAGCCGGTTGTGCTCCCTCAGAAAGAGCGTGTGCAGCGCGATCAATCCCAGCTGCTCGTTGGCTCTCGAATCACCTGTCAAGAGTCGACCGTGAACAGCGCTCGACTCCAAAGGCCGCAGGAAGAGGACGATTCAGTCGCTTACCTGCGTGAAAACACAACGAGGTGTTCTCTGGGTGCGTAGATCCGTTCCATGCTCCCGAGGGCGTGGCGTTACGGGGACCACAGGGATCCAGGTGAGCCTGGAGGCGGGGCAGGAAAGGCATGTAGGCCAGCTCCCCATCATGGTACTGGGAGTTGAGGGCCATGGAGCCCACAGGGGAGGAGTGGTTCCTSAGAGAAGAAGCCAGGCTGGGGGTGCTGCCGTACACCATGCTGGCGTCTACGAAGGAGGTGATGGTGTTGAGCTGCTCCCGGGGCCGGTGAGGCAGAACTCCCGCACCACAGCTGGGAGCGGAGCGGAAGAAAGGCATGCAGCTCTGGACGCCRTTACGAGGGTCAGACGGTGGGATCTGGGTAGGAAAGTTTCAGATTTTACAAAAGGTGCTGCTGAAAACAAAAAATAATTTTACCTGCCGAGTTAACTGTTCAAAACTTCGTGAACTTTCTGGAACCATGGGGTAATAAAGTGCACCTGGATGGGAAAGCAGGGAGCGTCCCGGCTGCAGCTGTGGCTGCAGTCGGCACCGGTCTTGAAGGCAGCTGTACTGGGACTCTGAGGGGTCAGCACCAAGTCGTGGTCTATCCACTGACCCCAGTCCACCAGCATGTGGGACAGAGTGGAGTCCTCTGAGATTCTGTCGTTGTGAGTGAACAGCACTTCCTGTGAGACGAGCCTGACCTGCAGAACAAAACAAACCGAGGAAGGGAGGAGTTCACGTCAGCTGGTAGGACAGAGAGRGGACAGGGAGCTGCTGCAGGGATCTTACCGGAGGCAGGCTGACATTGTTGTAGGTGTGATCGGGCTCCCAGCCTTTAGGCATCCCCCACACGTCCTCGTACTCTGGTGGCAACCAACGGGAATACGGGATGTCTGCAGCCCCCCATCTTGGATGTTGTCTGAACAGAACAGATGGCAGAACATGTTACCTGACAAAAAACAAGATCAAACTCTAGAAAACCAGGTGTTTGCTGATTCGCTCTGACCTGTTGTTGCACTCGCCTGTGATGGATCTGTAGCGCTCRGATAAACAGCCCGTCTGACAGCTGGGGCTCTGCAGCTGTGTGGAGCAGCCCGTCGCCTGCAGCAGGTTCTCCATGTCTCCTTCACTCAGCAGCTCTGAGGACACGAACGGTCAACAGAGTCCAGAAACCACACAGGAGACATCATTGGTTTGCTTTGCATCAGGAAACCAGAACTTCTGCTGTGTACCATAAGGACTGGGCTGCATCATGGTGTTGGTGTAGACCATCTCTCTGATCAGCTCCACTGTGTTGTCCAGCAGCTCAGCAGCCCGGATCTGACTCTTGGTTCTGGTTTCGATCTGTTTAAACTGGGCCAGCAGGTCACTGGGCTTCAGGGCGCCTTCAGACAAGGACTTCTTCACCCTGGAAATGTCGAAGGCTGATTTTTTTTCTTACCTTCACAGTGCCATCACAGAGGTTCAGACAGCTGTGAGACCATGGGTGTAATTTGCAGGGAGGGGTTAGGGGGTTATGACCCCCACAATAAAACATTACATAATTTGCTCTAACACAATAGAAATGAACTGGTTAAGTCCACAGCTGCAACTCTCATGTTGTCACTAGGTAACTTTGACCTGATTTTAAAATGTAGTGTCATTYATGGTTTAAGCATAACTGCAGTGCTGAAACTGATATGCAGTTTTAGTCTCATCACAWTAYGGCTGYATTTGTTGAATTATGTGTTATAATTTTTCCTACACAAATTGTRGTGCACCAGGTGAATACATACTCTTGGAAAATTGAGAAATTTAGGTATGTTGTGTAATACATCCTAAAAATTTAAAATATTTGTTACTGTTAGACAAAATGGGGTGGGGAAAGTAAGRCTTTTCTTAATTGTTGAACTGACATTGAGCAGAAAAGGTGCAGAATAAATACAAAGAATACTGCAAAGTTAAGAAAATCACAGTAAAAACATTTTAAACCAAATATCCTGAAAGTTTTACAAAAATAAATGATTCAATAAATAAATAGGCAGACAGCATAACCCCCAACAGGCCTAAATTTACGCCTTTAGTGAGACATGATCTTTACCTTTCACTGGTGTGAGCGTAAGCAGCATCAGTCAGCTCCATCGCTCTCTGAAGAGCCTTGTTGACATACGCTGAGCCCAGATACATGACTCCTGAGAACAACGATGCACATTGGGATCAAAATGCAGTATGATTTGAAAAATTGAAAAAAAAAAAAAGTCCTACCTGTCTTGTTGTTAATTCCTCTGCTCATTAAAGCATGCTCTGGAAGTGAGACCAGGACAAAACCAAGTCCAAGCAGAGCTGCTGACGCCTGAAACGACCCGTCTTGAGTGAACATTTAACTCAAATGAACAAACTGAGGAAAACAAGCAGAAACTCACCATTTGTGTTGTCATCTTAAAGTCTGCAAACTGTGAATCTTCCTGCCGCTCACAGCATCTCCCAGCAGAGCTGACTGACTCCTCCTGGGAYGCGGCAGGTGTTAAAAGCCGGCGCCGAGGGGCCAGCAGGTATGTGCAGAATCCCCTTATCGTTCCGTCTGGTGACAGCAAGGCAACATCAAACACTTGACTCCCTGCCTCGACCTAATAACGTTTCAAATCTGTCTTCTTGCCCATGATGAAATCCCCTCTCCCTGTGTCAAAACATTTCAATTAAATTCAATAATAGACATATTCTCTGCGCTGGATGATTCAGAGGCAGCTGAAATGTCCAGGAGGTTCAATAGAAGCTGGAAAAAGAAAGTCTCTCATGTTTCAGACAGGTTCACCTACTTTCAGTGACTCAGAAGGGATTTTTTTTAATACAGGTGTGTCTGCGTCATGCCAACAGGGATCATCTGATTAGTCCTGTGCCAAGGCCGCAGACAGGAGAAAGACTGATGATTCAAGGAAGGAAATTAAAAAAACTGATTTTTATAAAGGTTTTGAGGTTATTTAAAGTGTGTGTGTGTGTGTGTGTGTGTAGGGCATCACTCAATGGCTGTGCTCAGTTTGAGCCAACAGAAGTCCAACGCCAGGACTTCCCTCTGCCCAAACTCATATTTTTGATGCTCCAGGTGGGCAATATCATCACTGACCCCCTTTTCATTGCTTTACTGAACCTTTCTCCCTTTGGCCTCAAAAACTCAAATGTAGGTCAGGATAATTAACTCTTCCCAGCTGTGTGGATAAAAACTTAATACATCAAAAATCACAGACTTATGTCAAAGGAACTAATCTGAATTGTGGATTTTGACTTCATTTTTGCAAAATACCCTCTTCATCATCACCGTTGTGCTCCTTAAAACCCTTTTATCTAAAACAAGAAAATCAGTCCAAAACAAGAAAATAAATTGTCACACAAATTTTGTTTATTAACACAACATTAGAGCATTGCACAGAAATTATTTCAAGTTTAGTTTCTCCAAAGCAGGAAGGTCTATTGATCTCTTTGGTCTTTAACAACAATAAGACATGAGATATGTTATTGCTTGTGCATGCAGACATTTGTTCATAAAGTTCATAAAATGTACAAGTTAGWGGAATGAAGAGTCGAACAGGAAACACTGTTCTGGCTGGAAGTATTTAAAACTGGTTGTTTTTGATGGACATCACAGTGTTTTAATCARGTCAGAGTTGAACAGCAGTTAGTGTGTAGGAAGTGTGGTTGCAACGATCAACACTCTGATCGGCTGTTAGGCGTGCTGAGACCAGAGGAAGCGGTCGCAACGTTCGAGCATCGTCTGGATCATTGCCCTGAAAAATAAAAACAAAACATTTTTATTCAGATTTTGACAATTTAAAACAATAAAATATCACAACTGTCTGTTTAACATGTACAGGGTGAGCCAAAAGCCATTTCAGAAAGAAAAGGCAAAATGACATATCTAAATATCCTGGCATGTAACAGGTGAGGGAGGCTATCTTTTAGATTATGGCCCAGTCCCAATACTCAGTGCGCACACTACGCCCCTCTGAAGTGTGGATTCAGTCAAAGTGCACATAAGTGTTCGAGTGCGCAAGTTACAAGCGTACAAAACAAGTGAGAATTGGGACAGTATGGATTACGTCATCAAACACCGGTAGCTACCGGTCGCTGTTAGGCCAAATTTCATATACATAAAAGCAAATGTTTAAAGAAAGAAACAAATTTTATCTCCTTCATGACTGAGTTTACACAATATATGCAATCTATTCACTTCTCTAATAAGGAGAAGGCAAAAAAATTTACAATGTCTTGTTCACTTTTTGAAATTCCTGATTTAACTTTGTCGGGATTGTTGTTTTTTTTTTTTTTGTGGTGTAATCATTTTATTTAATGTAATAGTACCCCAAATGGGCGGGGCGAAGGGTGGATGTGGAGAATGTGGGACACTACGTACTCAAGCCCTTCAAACTGAACGCACATTTGAAGTGCACAAGGGTGGAAYGAGGGTGGGATGTATGGAACATGGCTGCCATCTTGAAAACTGCCATTTTGGAYCAAAGGTACATTTTTCTAAAGATAGCCCCCCTCACTTGTTGGGGTCTTCAGATTTGTCCTTTTCCCTTTTCTTTCTGAAATAAAAGGGCGTCTTGTGACTTTTGACTCACCTTGTAATTAAGTATTTAACATGATTTACATAGACAGTCTGATTAATTAAAATGAATGGAACAAATTATTATTTATACAGGTCACATGACAGGGAGGTTTGTTCATTTGTCTGCTTCTAAAAAAAACATTTAGTATTTTTCTACACATAATGTGGCTAAAACAGAAACCTGACCCACCTCTGCCTCTTCTCAGCGACTCTCAGTAGTTCACACACCAGTTCGGAGTGGGCCGAGAAGACCAGCTGCACCCCGCACTCCTCCAGCACCTTCAGCGCTCGGTCCGGCCCGGCCCTCCGAGCCAACACGAGGGTCAGGCTCTCGGGGCTGATCTTTCCCTCGCTGTCCTCTGAGCCGTTGGACCAGCTGCTCCCGTTCACATTGGTGACCCGCTGCGATTCGGCCGCACTGCAGTGCTGCTGAGACAGCTGGATCAGCACCTTCCACTCGTCCAAGGTCTGAGGCTCAACACCTGGAGGGTTACAGGGAGTCAGAGCACATCTGGAGGCTTGTGGAGTGAACGCTTGTGTTAACATGCACAGACTACACAGTCAGATGAGCAGCAAAGATCTGTGGCTCCAGCCTTCCCTCCATGGAAGAAAATTTACACACAGCAGGAAAGCACAGCAGATTCTCAGAGACAGACACCACCCTGCTCACTCCATGTTCCAGTGGGTGGATTGTGGCCACAACCTGAGTCATCGTAGGCCTGTGAGCATCAGTGCACACCGGTCTCGTCTACACAGGAGGTTTTTTTTTTTTCCGGCCACTGTTAGATTAGTGGCACAGGACATTAAAGATGGCAGGAATTGATGTAACAAAATTAGATCAACTGAACAGCTTTTGAATTACAAGAAGATAATGTTAACAATTTTAATATTGCAATATCAATTACTATTTATTTATAGTAATTCAATGTACTTGTGTCTATTTTTTATATTTATTTTACCATATTTTTTTGTTATGGTGAATATTTTTATAAATTTCTTACCATTTTTTGAGTTGGAGAAACGCACAAGAATTCCAATGTGCTTATACTATAATGTATTTGTGCAAATGGTAAATTCTATTCTATTCTATTCTATTCTATTCTATTCTATTCTATTCTATTCTATTCTATTCTATTCTATTC